GGGGGGGGAGTTGTACGTTAGTTTTTTCTTTTATAATCACAACTAATGGTCAAATTAACTTATACTTTTTTTTTTAAAAAAAGGTCAAATTAACTTATCATTTTAAATCTCACAGCTAACGTTGCATTTGACATTTGGAATTGAACAGAAATGATTTCAAATTTCAAGATTTCAAAAGATGGAAATAATTTTGAATTCTTAATTGCGTTTGGAACCAAATTAATTTGAAATCATTGAAATTAAAATTTATTATTTGGATGTGTACGAGAAATGAAAATGAAAATTTAAGAATGTGATCTGCCAAAGCGAGCATAATTCAACCGTAATTGATATATATTTTCAACAAAGAGATTGTGAGTTCGATCCTCCACCACACATATTATACTAAAAAAAATTTTAGGAATGTGTCCAAATTGAAAATTTTATACTCAACAATATAATAAAATAATTTAGTTTAAATATATAAGTTGTTCTCATTTTTTGTTAATTTCACGTACTGTATTGATTATTATTACATCATTTTTGCAATTTTCCCTCGCCTTTCCAAATTTGCCTGAAAATTGCAAATGAAAAATAAAACAAAAAGTATAAATATTATCCGAATTATTTAATAAAAAAAATATTATCCGAATTAATTACATCATTTATTTCGACAAAATATTATCATTATATCTCTCGAAGAAATAAAAAGAAATCAACGGTCAGAAAGGCTCCGTGGAGTCCCATCACTCACAAATCCAACGGTCACAACATATCTTCCACATTCACCGAAGAAAATCAACTGACCCAAACAAAAAAAAGAAAAGGAAAAAAGGGGGATGAAATTAGGGTTTCGAAGGTGTATATGAGAGCCACCGAATGTTCCACCCATTTTCAGCTGCTTTGGGGAAGAGGACTATCGTTTTCCTTTCGGAATTTTCATTTTGAATCTTTCATTTTCCATTTGAAATCATGGGAAAGGGTCCCGGTCTCTACTCTGATATCGGCAAAAGAGCCAGAGGTTATTGATTTCTTCATCTTCGTTGAATCTTTCTTTCATTTTGGTTGATTTTTCTTTGAATCTTGTTGTGTTCTTCTGTCTTCTTTGGCAGATCTTTTGTACAAAGACTACCAGAGCGACCACAAGTTCACCATCACCACCTACTCCCCCACTGGAGTTGTGAGTTCATCTTTCCACTCGCTATCTTTAATTTCTGGATCTGTGTTGAGGTCGAAGTTACTGCGGTGCATATAATTTCCATCGGTCGATGAATCGTAAAGAAAGAAAAAGGAAGAATAAAAATAAGTGAAAATAAGCTTCTTAATTCAACTTTTTCGTCACTGTTCTTATAATGATTTCGAAGGTGCTATAAGAACTTATTATAGCCTGCTTTTTTTTTTTTAATTTTATATTTGGGTTGGGTTTTGATTCTTTGAGGCAACGAATGTAGGATTTTCTTTCATTTTGATGGTCATTCACAAATGCACTTGCACTGCCACTCTATTTTTGGTGTATTTTTAGAAATTGTAACTGCCCTAATTTTTTGGGACATGTTAAAGCCTGAAGGGTGAATGATGAGATTGCTTTGCATTTTATTGTGTTGCGTGCCCTAATCATTATCGACAGTGATTCTGAATTCTTTTGCACCAGAGTTTGTTTGAATTAATTTAATCTTCCATACACATATTCCAGAAGTTCCATTTCCGACTTGCTAGCTTAATAGATATTTATACCAAGTATTTTAGGAAGCAACTTGGATAATTTTTTCCTCTCCTGTTACATGCTTTTGCTTATTACTTGTTTATGTCTTTCTATCTGCAGGCTATAACATCTTCTGGAACGAAGAAGGGTGACCTATTTTTAGCTGATGTTAATACTCAGCTGAAGAACAAGAATATCACAACTGATATCAAAGTTGACACAAGCTCCAATGTAATCAATTTTTATTGAACTTTTATACTTTACTGCATCCCTCTACTTTATATTTTTTTTACTTATCTATCGTACTTGTATGTCTCTCTCTCTCTCTCTTCCTCCATCTCTCCATTACTTCTTCAACTTCCGTAGTTTTTTCCACTAGCCTGTCAAGAAATTTAGAAGATTTACTAGGTGTTGTATCATTGTTGTTTCATGTTTATATCTGGATATCTAGGATTTTCATAATTCAAGAAAGTCCTCTGAAATGTCTGAATGGACTATTGAAAGAGCATGTGAATTGTTCACAATCAAGAATTGTATGAACATGTATAGCTCTTTGAACCAGAAGAGTATATCAATTAAAATATCCAACATAGAATATAATATCTGAAGCAAGTGTTTGTCTTGCTTCCTTGTTTGTCTTGCTTCCTTTTGGGGAAGCTAGACAATTGTTTTTTATCCTTTTTGGCTCGTTCCGTCCCTTTGCGCTTTTATTGAATAGAATAAGCTATCATCATTCCTCATAGGTTGGTCCATTTTGATGTGGAATGCAAGACTACCTAGCTTTGTAGCTCTTGTTGTGTTGACGATCTGAGAAATGCCCTTCTGCTTCTATATATTGTTTGAGGCTGTTCCTACTGGATGTAGTAATGATATTTATTTGGGACTGAAAGCTTATTGGGCTTGTGTTGTTTGTAATTAGGGAGAAAAAGAGTACCCCTGCTGTAATTGCTTCCCTCCAACCCCACCTCCACCCACCCACACAATAATTTTGATAAATATGAAATTCTATGATTCTATCTGAAGGTAAGATTGTGAATGCCTTTTTTAATCACTGGTATTTGGTGGTGAAGTTTTATGTTCCTTATGTATTATTTGTCATTTTTTCTTTTGTGCAATTGGGGTGACTTGTGTTCTGAAATTTTGTAGCTTGTCACAACTATTACTGTTGATGAACCTGCTCCTGGATTGAAGGCAATATTTAGTTTCAAGGTTCCTGATCAAAGGTCTGGTAAGGTGAGTGATCAATAATGTGTTTTAGTATCAGGATATTGTTTTTTGATGGAGTTGTACGTTTTCCTTTTGGTTCTGAGCTGAAGAATGTTCTAAAATAGTTATAAAACAGGTAGATAAGCATCACCCATCTGATTTCTGATTTCTGTTTTCTGTTTTTGGTGAAATAGGTGGAACTGCAATATTTGCATGATTATGCAGGAATCAGCACAAGTATTGGGTTGACAGCCAATCCTATTGTCAACTTTTCTGGTGTTGTTGGAACGAATCTTCTTTCCCTTGGTACCGATCTTTCATTTGACACCAAAACTGGAAACTTCACCAAAGTTAATACCGGACTGAGCTTCTCCAACGCAGACCTAATTGCTTCCCTGACCTTGTAAGTTTTTCAGTTCTCTCTCTTAAAGGGTGCATCATGTGTTGATTTTTGCTCTTTTGGTGCAATACTAAAGGCATTGTGTCCAATTCATGACTCAGGAATGACAAGGGTGATACATTGAGTGCATCATACTACCATTTGGTGAACCCTTTGACTAGCACGGCTGTCGGTGCGGAGGTTGCTCATAGCTTTTCCTCCAACGAGAATACCATAACGGTTGGAACCGTACATGCACTAGATCCGCTGACCACGGTGAAGGCTCGGGTGAACAACTTCGGCAAGGCAAGTGCTCTTATCCAGCACGAGTGGCGTCCGAAATCATTCTTCACTGTATCTGGGGAGGTAGACACCAAAGCAATTGAGAAGAGTGCAAAGGTTGGACTAGCTTTGGCCCTCAAGCCATGATAGGACATTTTAGTCGCTATGGCCGGAGGAATTAAGGTAGGGCTTCTGGTACGTAGCCAACTTGTTTGTCTAAACTTTTGATGATACGATGTTGATGTCACTCCAGTTGTTTCGGGTTGTAGAAATAAATGTTAAGATGATGGTGTCATAGACAACCTATTTGGTACCCTTTTTTTGGCACTCTGAATCAGGGCCCTTTTGAAACCAAGGCAGATGAAACTTGTTGAGGAGATTTACCATTGAGATATTGTTCCAATTTTTTTTAATGCCTCTGTATTCCATTCAAGCCCCCACCCGCAAAAAAAGAAAAAGAATAGAGAATAAACGTTCTACCACTGTACTGCTGGTTTTTCCAACAGTTGGTTGGATTTTGATGCCTTTTGTAATTGCTTTAACAGAAAGCTCATATTCATTATATCTTGGAATAGGGGGGTTCAATTAACCTGACAATCCAAACATTAAACCTAATCCTTGAAAAGATTTGGTTTGGTTTGGTTTGGGTTGGTTTTTGGAAGGATAGAAAAATTGGTAAGTTGGGTTGGGAGAATTTTTGGTTGGTTTAGTTTGAACCGACCTATATAGTAATAAAGAAAATAAATGATTTGGGTTGTTCGCTCCTTCCTCCCTCCCCCGGTCTCCCTTTTGCTCGTCTCCCCTTCTCTCCATGGCTAACTTCTTCGTCACAGTAGAGAATGATTCAATTGAAATTACTCTCCCTAAAATAATGATTCAATTGAAATTACTCTCCCTAAAATGATTTTAAAATGAATATATTATTTTTCCTTTTTAATTCTTGTATTACTTTTATAATTCCTCAAGTCCATCAAACCCAATACTTCAAGCCCAATATGAAAACTCTACTTCAAAATCAAACCTCTACCTTAATTTTATTTATATGGTATAATTTGAATGGTTGGATTAAAGTTTGATTCTTAATTAAAGATTCATTGGATTGAAAAAACTAACACATCTAAAATATCGTAATTGTATTTAATTAAAATTTATACTATTCTATAAAACAAAAAATTTATATTTTTATTAAGAATTAAAAATATATTAATAAATTAAAGGTCGAGGACGGGTGGTTACCCACAAGAACCCCATCCCGTCCTATCCTGACCTGTTGCCAACCTTAGGTCCGACCAACTTGAATTTTTAGGTTGATTCAAAATATATCTCTAACCCGATTCCACACAACTAGTGTACTCTCGTAGCTGTCCCTACAAAGAGATAGCATTACTCGTATTTCTTTGGTTGGTTAGGCCTTACACAATGGTTTCTTCTTTATTTTTTACTCTAATGAATATCAACGAATGCGGTTAAATAAAGCTTTTAAACATAAGTAAAATAAAAATATATGCGGACATTGTAAATATAATGAGAGAAAACATAGAAATATTGGGTTATCCATTTTAATAAAATTACATTTTTCCACAATTATTAAAAATTTCATATTTTGTATAATACAATAGAATAAAAATATTAACCATGTTGGATGCGAATTTGGACCTGCCATGTGTCACGGTAAGAGAGGTAAGCCGATTTGACGTAAATTCCTAAGGATTGTTCAGGTCAGCGGTTACGGACCGAACTAAGAGGACGAGCCGACCTGAACGAAGTCCGTAAACATGTCTCTTCCGAACCCGACAACACGCCGTATTTTTAGGGTGTGTCAGATTTCCTGTCGGGCACAGTTTCTATAAATAGAAACCTTAGCCTTAAATGCAAGGTACGCAATCCTAGATAKACTCGGCAAGTTAGCTCGGACCAGAACTGACTTGCTCGTCGGAGTGCTAACTTTGTTTTGCAGGTCTCAAGAGTGTTCGGAGGGGATGCTGAGCAGCTGGCCGTAGTTCGTCCTGACCGTTCCGATCTACTTCGTACCTGAGCTCACCAATTTTGAGCTCAAACAAACCACATCCCAAAGACCACGAGTTTCGATATTTTTTTTAACATTTTTTTTGTAATGAAAGAAGAAAAGGTTCTTCCCCATATTTTTTAATGGATAGGTCATCGTCGGACGTCCAGTCCAACATTCTTTAGAAAGCTTTCTTTTAACAGAGATATTTGTCAAATAAATTTCCAACTAGAGTTGCTTCTGGGCATCATCACCTCATCCATAGAGGGTGTTGTCTTTTTTGACCCATTGTTTCCGCCTTACATCCTTCCCCACTCGATGTTTAGAAAATGCCTTCACATATCTATGATCTAAGAGGGAGCAATTTGGGTTGCCAATCAAACCGATACATTGGTATTGTTTATGCAAAGATGTGCACAACAGTGTGTTCCTGGTTGTAGCTCGAACCCGGCCTCCGGACCGACCTGACCACTTGGGCGGACCTGCACAAAAAGGTGAGCACTCCGACGATCAAGTCAGTATAGGTCGGATTCCAAGTCTAGTTCGAAGCCAGAAATCATCGTACCTGATCGGGGAGTGAGGTCCCCTACTTATGGGTGGTGGTCCCGCTAATCTAGCGACTGTTACATTCGGTAATCTCGGGACCGTCGGTTA